AGCTGACACCTCTGCTCTTCAATACTTTAAAAAGTTCCTGTGCAGCAGATTTGCCCAATGCAATATAACAGATAGCTATTTGTAAAATGCATAGGGAAAACCTCACCATTAATGTGAAACTTACTCCCCATCCTCCCAAAAACCCAGAATGAAAACTTTTTAATCCAGAAAAAATCAAACTAAAGCTGCTCTATTCCCTTAAACTTCTGGCATATTTTAGGATGCAAAGTATTTTTCCAAGGTGTGCCTTTTACCTACCCCCCAAAAAAAAAAGGAAGGCAAGAACTACCAAATGTATAGGTACACTTCATGCAGAGTCAGGGGCGGTGCTGTAAGGGATGGACTGCAAAGTCGGTCTGAGCCACAAAGTCAGCAGGTCAAACTCATGAGCTGCTTCTCATAAACCCTATACAGGGTTGCTATGCGCTGGAACAGACTCGATAGCACTTAACAACAACAACATGGAAAAAAAATACAAAAATGAATAAACTACAAAAAAAGTTAAGTGGAAAAATGAGTTATATAGGAACATCTAATACAATAAAATGTTTAAATTAGAAAAGAGTGAAGGAGGCTGTGGATATTCTAAGTGTTTTCTAAAGAAATATCTCTCTTATCATATCCATAGACAGGCAGGTGTACACATGCACACACCTTTTACACAGTATGATTTTACTAGAACCCTTATGTTCCAGAAATGCATGATAGCACACATATGTTTTCCAACATGTATATTATAAAATTCAAAAATGTTTTTTTTTTTTAGAAATGTTTTGATTCATTCACAAAATCATCCATGGTACATGTATTATTAAACAGGCATCATACTTTAAATCCAACAAAAGTTACATAAACTCTAGTTAGCTGTTATTTTATGAACCAGAAAATCTATGGAATTGATTATGACCCATCAATGAAACAGTCAATATCTATCTATTCCTTAAGGCTTTACTCTACTACACACCTGTATGATTATAGTTGCTACAGCTCCAGTCAGGTACAATGAGAGACAGTCACAAGCTGTTGCTGTCCACTTGTCACTCCCACCAGTTGGCCTCAAACATAAAAATAATGACATCTTGTTTTACAACAAATAGCACAATATATCTAACTAGAAGAGAAGCCATAAACCACTTCATTATCAATGCAAACATGGCTCAGCATTGTTACAAATTCCTTTGCCATGTGCATTCATCCCTTTATGTTTCATTCATCCCTTTATGTTTCATATTACATTCTTTATGCATGTGAGGGGACTTCAAAAAGTTTGTTGAAAAATTCCATTATGCTTTAATTTCATCTTCCACAAACTTTTTGAAGTTTCTTCATATCTAAAGATTTACACCCTCGGAAACCCTGTACAGGGTCGCTATGGGTCGGACCCAACTCGATGGCACTTAACAACAACAACAACAATATGTAGCTAAACTGTTGTTAAGTGCTGTTGAGTCAGTTCCAACTCATAGCGATGCTGTACAAAGTTTTTGAGGAGCAGCTGGTGGGTTTGAACTGCCTACTTTGTGGTTCGCAGTCTGGTGCTGATCAAATAGGTATAGTTTAAGTATTTTTAAACCATTATAGGTGTTTCATATATGTGAACTAGACTATAAACTCCAAGAGATATTGTTTTGCCACCGAATGTTCCAACTCATAGCAACCCTGTGTAGGGTTTCCGAGGTGCAGCTAGTGGGTTTGAACCACCAACCCTGTGGTTTGCAGTCCAGTAATTATCCTATAGCACCATACCAGGAGGGATAATATATTACATTATGCCTATCATTTCATTCCTAATGCCTAATATAGTGCCTAGGACACAAAAGGCATTAAAAAAAATTAATGGAAAGTGAAAATAACAATTCTTTTTGAAATGATTATGGCCAAATATTTTTGGAAGTTTCCTCTGGAATTAAAACTTAATTTTAATTGCTATTCTTTTCACGATAATCAGCCTCATAATTTTTTTTTTTTTTTTTAAGAGGGGCATGTCATCATTTTAATGATGTAGATCTTTGGTGTTTCTCTCACAGCCTCATAATTTATATTAGTTTTCCTTTTTAATATGAAGAGAAGATATAATTTCATCCTCCATCTTCGTTTGTGTAGTATAAACTTGATTTTGGTTGTTTTGTAAATATCTACCTCCAATAAATAAATAGTACCACTGGTGGCTCACTGGTAGAAAGAGCTCTTGTCTTGCATGTTGGAGATCAGCGTTCAACTTCGGGTGAATGCAGCTATGTACAGCCACCAGCTGTCTGTCAGTGCATGCTTTCTATGGTGCTAAACAGACTACAGCAGAGCTTGCAGAATGAAGGTGGGCTAGGAAGGGAGATCTGATGATCTACTTTAGAAGATCAGCCAATGGAAACCCTGTGGAACCCAAGGGTCTGTTCCACAGCTATCATGGGAGTGCCTTAGAGCTGGGTGATAGGCATTACATTCCCCAGGAGGGTGTCATGAGTCACGGGCCAATCTGATGGTACCTACTAACAACAATCATCAATAAAGAGACTACAATATAATAAACTCCAGGCTCGGAGGGCTCTATAAACACGATTTCTATAGCCATAGTTTCACTGGAGCTGCCCCATAACTAACTGGCCAATCTTTTCACATCAAATGATTTATATGTATGAACTAACCAAATCAGTTGGGCATGCAGTTTTGCCAAACAGGATCTGATAAATATACTATGTTATTTTGTAAGAAGTCCATCTTCATTCAATGGAATACTACGCAATCATAAAGAACAATGCTGACCGTGCGAAACATAACATGGATAGATTTGGAGGACATATGTGAAGTGAAATAAGTCAATCACATAAAGCCAACTATTGTTATGATTACAATTTTATAAGAAAATATGTATGTGCAGCAACTTATGTTCATTGGTGTTAACCAGCAACTCAAAAGACTCGATAGAAACCTTAGTGGGCAGTGAGTTTATATTAATGGGGGAGGAACAACTCAGAAAAGGAGTTTTGAGAATGGCTGCACAGCTTGAAGAACACAAATAACATCACTGAATTGCACATGCATGAACTGTTACATTGGTTTATGTTTCACTATGTATGTTCTAAATTACAACTAAACAAATTATGCATTTCAAAACTCACCTTTTTGGATGCCTAAAGCTTGTTCTTTTAAAGGATTCTTCAGGAAAGGTTCTAAGGGACTACGCATATTTATTAACCTTGTGAATAAGTTATATGGGCTATGGTCTTTATTCTTGAAGATCAGTTTGGTTGTATATAAAATATACAGTTTGACATTTTCTTTCCTTGAGGATTTTACATGTTATTCTATTATCTTATGACATAATGCACTGTTGATGACAGCTTGATTTTGTTTTATGAATCAGTGATTTTACCAGATAATTGCTCAGTGTTTGCCATTTGTAATGATTTTCCTAGCTATGCAGTATGGCTTTACAACATATAGTTTCAAATACTCTCGTTTATTCTACGTACATTTGTTTTGGTTCTGTTGTTTTCATTTCCTTCTTTGGGATTCCTATTACATTTGCAATGGGTAGTCTTTGTCTATTTTATATATTATCTGAATCCTTTGGATTTTTCTTTATCTTTTATGTATTTAAAATATTTCCTCCTATCTTCTCTTTCTCTCAAGGTATTATCATACATTGTGCTTATTTACTTCTGTGTTTCTTGCAGTTTAGTCTGTATTTCTGAAATTAACTTTATGTCTAATTATTTCCTGAGCTATAATACCTCTCCTTTCAAATTTTCCTTTCACTCCTGTTTCTGACTGTTTTCTAATTCTGATTTATATTGTCAAATAATTTAAAGTTTTCATTTTGAAACATTAAATTACTGTTAGTTGTGACGGCATATCTTTTTGGAGAATTTGTGGTGCTGTAAGATAAGCACTGTAGTGCTGATCACAAGGTTAGTGGTTCAAACCCACTAGCTGCTCCTTGTTGTTGCTGTCATGTGCCATGCATGGAGTTGTTTCTGACTCATAGTGACCTTGCATAGGGTTTCCTAGGCTGTAAATCTTTACGGGAGCAGAAAGCCTCATCGTTCTCCTGCGGAGCAACTGATAGTTTCGATCTGCTGACCGTGATATTCGCACAGCCCAATTCACAACCACTATACTACCAGCTGCTTTTTACTTATTTATTTTGTATTTCAGTAACTTAATTGAAAGGTATATCCCTTAATAACATAATGGTAATTTTGTTAGGTTACCTATGCTAACTGAAAATTAACACCGATGTATTCAAATACTGAAATGTATCAGCCATTTAGGAAAACAGAAAACTTATCCACAAAATATAGCTTAGAAAATTTAAGATATATTGTGGCTCTTTGGCATATTTTTCCATCCATATTTGTCCATAAATATCTGTATCATGTCAAAAGTAATCTGAATTGGTTACAACCATTCTGGATAGTCTCAGACTGCACAATGCACTTGGTAACTGTTTTCAGTGCTTTCACGGTTAACTACCTTTCCAGTCGATTCCAACTCATAGCAACCCTGTATAGGGTTTCCAAGGAGCAGCTGGTGAGTTTGAACGGCTGATCTTATGATTCACACCAAACCTGTGGCTCAGTGCTTTATCCAAAGCACCACACCAGGGCTACCTCAGCTACCTTATGCTTACTTACTTTCCTAAGATTTTATTTTGGCATAATTGTTAAGTGCCATCAAGTTGGTTCTAACTCACAGCAACCCTACAGAGGGTTTCCGAGGAGCAGCTTGTGGGTTTGAATCACCGATCTAGTGGTTAGCAGTCCAGTTCTTACCCTACAGTACAACAGCAGGACTCTCATTTTAGCACAGTAGGGGCATTTCCCTTTTGGTTTTCTAGTTCCAGATCTTTGCATATTTTATTATAGTACCTGCTTTTGTATTCTCGGGCTGATCTTTGAAATTTTCTGTTCAGCTCTTGGATCTCTTCAATTCTTCTATTTGCTCTAGCTTCTTTACGCTGGACAGCAAGTTTCAGAGTCTCCTCTGACATTCATTTAGACCTTTTCCTTCTTTCTTGTCTTCTTAATGCCTTTTTGCTCTCTTCATGTATGATATTCTTGATGTCATCCCACAACTCTTCTGGTCTTCTGTTTTTAATGTTTAATGCATCAAATCTGTTCTTCAGATGGTCTCTAAATTCAGGTGGGATATATTCAAGGTCATATTTTGGCTCTCGTGGACTTTTTTTCATTTTCTTCAGCTTCAGTTTGAATTTGCATATCAGTAATTGATGTTCTGTTCCACATCAACAACAACAACTTTGTTCCTTTTACACAAAATTCTCACAGGAAATGGCAGTTTTATAAAAACAGTCCTTAGTAAAAATTTCTGGAGTGTTAATTCTAACCTGAACTTGCATTAATAGGATAAGACAATTTTGATTCTCAATGGGATTAGATTGAGGCAGCAGATTCTGTATAAAAAAACTTTAAATCATGGTTACAAGTATCTCTTCTCTAGAAAATCTATTGAAGATAGTATGTCAAACTTACCAAGTCTATTATTTTTGTTTTATATAAAAAAGCCTAGATAGCAATTAAGTTCACATATCTGCATTATGTACTTGCATCACGGATGCCAAGAAACCATTTATGTTGTCTTGAATGGTAATCCTTATTATGTCTTAAAAGCGTATTTGTAAAATAACTGGTTTTGATGTAAGCCTCATAATCTAATCACTTAAGATGACTCAGCTTATATAGGTTACTATTTCAATACCACCTAAACATATTGATTCAACATAGAAATCTGGGTCAGTGTTAAAAATAAAGATTCACAGTTTACCACCCCAGGCTTCTCATTACAGTTTCACATTTATATTCTTAGCTTTGATTTGTATGCATCACAGGTGAATTCAAGTCTAAATATAATTCCACTATAGCATAATATTCGGGCTGCGAACGTCAGGGTCAGCAGTTCGAAACTACCAGCTGTTCCACAGGAGAAAGATGAGGCTTTTTGATCCTGTAGAGATTTACAGCCTCAGAAACCCTGTACAGGGTCACTATGAGTCGGAACCGACTCCATGGCACATAACAACAATAGCATAATATTAAGTAGTCAGTTTCCCAAATCTGAGAACAAATTCAGTTGAGATGTTTTGAGGTTTCACAGTTTAAATCCATTCTAACTATGAATTCCATCGCTGAGGGTTGTAGAGAAAGGCTTCAGAGAAGAGTTTTTTGGTTGCTGTAATAATCCGGTTAAGGTACTGCTTCAGGAATTGTTGGAAGGTGGGTTATCCTATGGTAACTATGCTTCAACTGCCTTGCTGTTCATCCAGAAACAATCCATTTGAGCTTCTGAACATTTGGTTTGGAACATTTGTTTGATGAATATTCTGTTATACACTTGGAGACGAGTTCTTGCCAGAAGGTCAAATCTCTGCCATTTATCTTGGAATGTTTCTGAAGACATTCTAGTTTTTCTGTTAATTGTACACCCTTCTGTGATTTGATCTCCAATGCAATGATAGATAGTGACAACACAGAGGGCTTTGCTTTAGAAAATATGATCCTGCAGTGGCATGCCTTAAGTTGAGCTTCTAGTCTTTCAAAAGTAAGGCTGTTTCTCCTTTCAGATGGTAAGCTCTCTTGAATGAGTGAATGATAGAGTTGCAGAAACTGAATGGCAGTAGCAGCTTTAACTTTCTAACACACCTTCTCCAATACAATCATTTCCATTCTCATCAAGTCAGAAACTGTGAACTTTCTTATTCGGATCAAGTCATTTGCCAGTGGGCAAACTGATTTTACAGCCAAGCAGAAGCAGCTCAGTCCTACACATCCAAGGTGCTTGGACTGTACCTTCATTTTGGACAGAAACCTGTCCAGTAACTTCACAGCTGGAGAAAATGTTTCCGTGTCAAAGCCAAAGAACTGAGTTAGACTAAGAAGATCTTTTACTTCAAAGTCTCTTAACCTTGCCGTCATTCTGAGGCCATTATCAAGAGCAGACTCAACCAGTCTCAAGCTGAAGACCTTTGGCTGACATCTAGACTCCTGTTCCATCCAGCAGGGCATTCAGCTGGTGGAGTGGTTTCTGAGCGTCAGTTGTTGTCAGTACCTCTATCATTGTGATAGCGACTGCAGCTCCTCAGCAGTAACTACCCTCCCCGGGCCTCCCCACACCTCACCCCATGGTATGGTATTAGGTCCGAGAGGCCTAAGAGGTGAGGGGGCTTCGTCCTGGCCAGACGTCTTGGCAGTGTAGCCGAGACAAAACCACCTTCCGTCAAGGCTTACACCGAGTAGCACAGCTGCTTTTTAGATACCCTATAAAGGGTTGCTATGAGTCGGAACCAATTCGGTGGCACTTAACAGCAACAGGTATTACCTGGCTCCTCATTCTTTTTGTTACAGTAACTTTATATGGGATTTGACTGCAACTCTTTCCTTTTTTTTTGTTTTAAGCAAAATAAAATTTCCTGAGCTTTTAAAGGGTAGATCACGATCACTTTTCTAGCTTCATGGCTGTAAAACTCTCTCTTCTGTTGTGTTCCCAAGGTAATAAAACACATTGCCTCATATACCGAAATCTTTCTCTTTTGTTCTTCTTGTCTACTTTAATTTGAACCTTTTCTTTGCAATTGTCCCTAAACTGCTCAATGCAGACTCTAACTCCCAGAAGTTTCTCCTCAGTATGGAGTCATGGAAAGTTAACTTGTGTTTATTTTCAGAAGTTTATATGGATAAACAAAACCATAATATTCCTTAGATGTGAGGATGGTGAGATTTTAACTTGGTTCCTATGGCTATGTCATCAGGAAAAACCAATCGCTAAAAAAGGGCCTCAAAGTTGGTAAAGTGGAGGGTCAGTAAAGGTAAGAGAGGTCCTCAGTGACACAGCGGTGGAGACATTGGACTCAAATATAACAATGATCCTGAAGATGGCAGAAGACTGTGCACTGTCTATTCTGTTATAGCCATAAAAATTACTGTGGGCTGGAACTTATTAGGGGGCAGGTAACACCTACACCAACAACATAGGGCTAACAAAGTTCCAGTACTATGAAACTTTGGCACATCACAGATGACTTGCATTCAACTAGTAATTAATTGTATCTTGCGTTACACTCCTTGACAGTAATTTTGGTTGCTATTATTTTGGAGTTCTAATGTGGCTCTACAGGATAATGCGCTGGACCACAAGGTTAGTTTGAACTGCAAGGTTGCTGGTTCAAACCTGCCAGCTGTTCCTTGGAAACTCTATACAGGGTCGCTATGGCTCGGAACTGACTAAGTAGCACTTAACAATTCTCAGATTGGTTTACATTTTCAAATGAGATTGTTGCCAGAATCCCAGATACCTTTATTTCACACCCTTCCACCTAAATGCTGATGTCATGATGATCTGGTTCACAGAGTGCTCTACCCTACCTACAGTCAGGGATCCATGAAAGGAAGCCCTGTTATCCACTTTTGTTGAACTGTGTAGCCAAGTTGCTCTCATTCTGATTCCAGAGACTTACAAAACTGTGTCATGCCATTTTCCCAGAATCCTAGAGAGGATTTTGTTTTAGTTGATAATTTACGTATTTTTTTTTGTTTTCCATGCAATGCTAAGCTTAGGAAATAATTCATTTCATCAGAATATTTCATTTACTCAGGATGTTACCCAAATTAAAGTCAACAAGAACCTATCTCAAAAAAAAAAAAAAAACAAAACACAAACCAAACTTAAAAGGATCATATTAAATGAGAAAATTATTTTTTTCTGTTAAAAGTTACCTTATATCAACAAGTGCACATTCCAAAGATAATCTTCCCATTGTCTTTAAATTTTCTTGAAGTTCTCTTAGACAGTTAACACTCACTACTAGTTCGACACCCACGTCATACAGCAAGACCTATGAAGAGAATGGCTTTACATTTATGGGAAGACAACATTTAAAAAATTGTTTACAAACTAAAAAGCATAAATAAAAAACAATTCACTGACTTTCACAATTATATTTTTAACTCTGCATTTTACCTCTACCAGTGTGTCTGTAACCTTTCTGAGGATCTGGCCTCTTTGCCACTGGTTTTTACTGGCGATCAGCACAGCACAATGCATATCATTTTCCCATTTAATAGGTTCCCACTGTGAATTTTCATAAGCAGTAACCATCTTTTCTTGCAAACTAAGGAAAGATAAAAAATATTTAAGTTTCTAAATCTTCTAACATATAATTAGCTGACCACATTTCTTCTAATGTCCCCTTTTGCACAATTCACCCACTTCAGTTAGACATCGTGTTCCACGTTAAATACGCCAAGGATATGTCCAATTCTTTAAACTAGCTGTTCTGTCTGAGATGAACTGCCCACATATATCCACATGATTCACTCCCTCTTCTCCTTTAAGCCATCCATTTAAAATTGAGCTCAACCTATCAGTCAGGTCTTCCTTAACCACCCTAAATTTCTTTTCTTCACAGTTACTTTATGAGGACGAGTCAAAAATCATCTGCACTCTGGCTGTAGAATTTATCTTAAGCAACTTTAAGAAAAAACAAATACATCTTGCTTTTCAATACACTTAGTCCATCTGTCATCCATCTTTCACATTTCCTTATTAAAAATTGTTTTAGGCTGAGCTGCATGCCACGACTGCAACCACTGTCTTCATTTCTTCATCAGAGGTAATCTTCATCTGGAAGGACTGCTTTCAGGGAAGCAAATAAATCAAAGTCCGATGGAGCAAGATCAGGACTGTAGGGAGGATGCTTTAACACCTCAAAACGAAGATTTTGGAGTGTCAACAGTATGGGCAGAGGTGTGTGGAAGTGTATTGTCAAGTAAGATCACAAAGTCCTGGAATAAAAGTCTTTTGCATTTAATCCGAAGGTTAGGCTTCAGTGAACATATCACTGTAATGAGCACTGCTGATTTTTGAACCTTTTTCATGACAGTGCTCCAGTACTGGCCCTTGAGAATGCCAGAAAACAGCAAGCATCAATTTTCCAGGTGATGGTTGACTTTTGAACTTTTTCTTGGTCAGTAATTGAGGATGTTTCCATTCCATAATCTGCCGTTTACTCTCAGGCTCGGAGTTATGAATCCTTGCCTCAACACCAGTAATGATTTTGTAAAGAAACCTTTACCTTCCTTTAAGTATTGGCCCAAATTGTGTTTGCAGATGTCCAAACACTTCTGTTTATGCTTTTCTGTGAGTTGTTTTGGTACCTATCTCATACAAACGTTTAGAAACCCAAATCTGTCATGGGTTATTTTACAGGCAGAACCATGGCTGAGTTACAAATGATGTGCCACATCATCCACTGTCACTTGTCTATTTGACAGATCATTTCACGCGGACCCTCAATCTTGTCATCAGCTGTGGATGTGGATGACTTAGTATAACCAGAGTGCGGATAATTTTTGACACTCCGTGTAGTCTCTGTTGCACTTAGCATCACATGCCAAACAACCTATTTTGTTTATTGCCATTCTCTCTACGGAAATTCAGTTCTCTGAGTGCAGAAATTTGTCCATTTGTACCACTGTATACATAGCGCATAACTGGTGCCCAAAAAGTAAGTATTCATGGAATGAATTATCTAGCATTTAAAATAATCAGTAAAAACAATATTTCTATACTTTTAGCTATATCTTCAGTGACTATTTTTCCTACTTCTAATATTCTACATTTAACACTTTCAGATCTCTGAAACAAAATATAGAAAGAAGAACAAAATCACATGCAAAATGTGTTATTTATATGCTATACCTATTAAGTAAGTTTTCTGTTAATAACCACTGAACATAAATCTTCTCAGGAGAGATTACATTGCAGATATGCACAGGTAGTTCCTTATTATAAAATGACTGGAAATTCTCACTAGGTAGAGATTTTGTAGACACAGGATATAAGTTGTTTACTTCATTTGAAATAATTTCTTCTGGAGAAGGATCCCACACTTCAATATGCTTTTTGGAATTATCTTTGATGGTGTATCTGAAAAATACCAAAAGCTGTTAACAAAATGTTAAAAAATAGTTTGCAAAATACCTAAGTTTGTATGTTTTAGATCTAGAGATGAGTAAGATTTACTGCTTCTCAGTTTTACTATTAATAGCCTTAGCAAATTTAGGCCTGTTTGTTTTAAAAACTAATAGCAAGCACAAACATTAAATTTTTTTTAAAGTAAACAAAGTGAAACTTTCTACTTGGAAAGTAATTTTAAAAGAATCTATGATGGTTACGGGGCAAGGGACGGAAAATTATTCACAAGCTAGAGGGTAGACACTTGTTAACATGGATAACAGGGCAGGCAACATACAACAGAGAGAGGTTAGCAGAGGAAAGGTGAAGGCAGTGGGAGACACAGGAGGAATACAATAGATAAAGTGAATAGAGGTAAATACTGTTAACTGTTGGTACACGGAGGGTACTGCAACCATGAAATGCAGCAATGTGTAGGATTTGTTGAATACAAAACTGATGATATGCTCTGTAAAGAACCTTCACTCAATTCACAATAAAAAGTTGGAAAAAAAAATCCCAACAATTATAAACACCAACGTTGCTCATAATTTCACCTCTTCTCAATAGTATTGGGTACTCACAAAGGAACATAAGAGTTTTCAAAGATTATTTGGTAACCTGAATATATCTCCTTGCCCAATAAGTATTCTTATGCTAATAAGAATAAAAGAGGAGAGGCAGGGCTTGATGGCAGCTAGGGTAGAGGTACAGTGAGGTTTGCCTTCACCGATACCACAGAATACCAGGCAAAGCAGATCCAGGGCAGAGCTCCAAAACTC